TTTCATTGGTAATAGTTCCCTTATGCCTCCTTTATCACTACGATACTTCCAGTTAAAGACAACACCAGTTGCTGCCCAATGGGAGACTGATTTTTACAATGAACTCATTCCATCAGAATGGAAGGAAAGAGTGCATGAACTATGAACATTAAACTTTATTTTTTCTTGCCTTGTGGTTAAATTCAGTGTTTCACCTTATCTCAAAAAGAATTAATACCTATAAACGCGTGTTGTACATTTAGTCCTGAGTCACAATTATAAGGTCACATAAACATCTCAATATAACTTTACAACAAACTTAAACATATTAGAGAAAATTTTAAGTAATTGCTTGGCTTTCAGCACAGCACTGCTTCTCCCTTTCCCTTTCCTCATAGCCCCTCATGGTGTATGCCTCTGTGTCTTTTTGTCTGTCTGTCTGTTTTCCCTCTGTCTCTGTCTCTCTCTCCCTCTCTCCCTCCTCTCCTTCCCTTTCTCCCTATTCCCCATGTGCATCTCTTTGACTCTGTGTCTGTCTATCTATGTGTTTCTGTGTATTGGAGGGAGCTGTTGTTCATACCTGTTTTTCAGGCAATTGAGCCAAGCCTTGCCCGCACTAGGTTGATTCTTTGTCATTGAACTGCATTCTGGCTTTGATTATTGGCATGCAGCAGTCATGTTCAGCACATTTTCTGTAACCTGACACCAGCCCTCTCCCATTTAACAGATATCAAAAAACCAAAGCATGGGGGGAGGGGGTAAATCATTTAGTCACACCACAAAGCAATAGTTTGAGTTTGCCATGAAACAGATTCTCTAATTGAGTGCAATGCCTCCTATCACCAAATTAAGTCTTATTTGATGAAGTGCTATAAAAGAATCACACTTGTTTGAGAAACTATCCAATTAAAACGCAGAAGATCTGGAGCTGAATTAAAACAGGAGAGGCTGAGGTGGCTCCACTTCTGCTCTAAGCTGCAGATGCTGGAATTCACAGGTCTTTCCTCCTCTAACGGCTTTTTTGGCATAAAATCCTCTGAAGGCACTGAGTATGTAGTCTGCCAACTCCCATTTAGTGGCATTTTAAACTTGCCTGGGAGAACTGTCACTATTCCTGCAGAGTAGTGTCTTAAAAATGACCTCAAAGGAAGTAAATATGAATTCCATTTAATTCCCTGACCTCTTCAGGACATGATGTAAGGCTAGATTTACATTACATTTCTAAGCAGTCCTAGAGCCCATGGAATTTGGAATTATAAGACCTGTAATGATCATGAGGGTGTGAGTAAACAACCTAGCTTTATTAAGTATTGAATTTAATAAATGAAAATAATATCTTCACCATTCCCTCCCTAGGTATTGCAGAGATAAAGGAGAGCATGATTCAAGCTGAAAACCTGGCATAGTAGTGGTTAAGGCCAAAGGAAAGGACAATGCAGTAGCTCTTCTTTGCAATTCAAAGAGAAAACCATGTTTGCTTCTCTTATGTGTCTTATTTGTTTCTTTTAATGAAGGTATTTTTTTCTGAGTCCTAAGTCACTTGGATAGTAATTTTTATATAAATCTTACAAGCACATAAATGATTGCCATGTATGCTCAAATCTTAAAATAGATAAAAGAATATAATACAAGCTTCCCAAATTGAACCAAAGATTTTAAAGAAAGCAAATCCTTTAATCCCAGCACTTGGGAAGCAGAGACAGGCAGAGCTCCGTGAGTTTGAGACCACCTTGCTCTACAGAGAAAGTTCCAGGAAGGCCCCAAAGTTATAAAGAAACCTTGTCTCAAGAAAAAAAAAATAAAAGTATAAAATTAACAATATGGTTGTATTTGGTTTCTTTGGCATCAACTTAGAGAGGCAATGGCCTAAAACTGTGGTCTACATAACTACAAGTGTTTACAAAAGACTAGCTGTGTTAGCTCGCATAGGGAGTCCCTGCCCAGCACCGAGTCGCTGTACCCTGCATTCGGGAAGTTTATGTTTTATAGCACAGCTGAAATATTACTTTTAAAATCTATAAGCTAAGGAACTAAGTAGTAGATACTTTTGCTGAAAACGAGCATTTTGATCATTTAAAACAACTTGAATTACTAACAGACATGAGTTTCTGTATAGTCAAGAAAAGTTCAAAAGTATTTCCTGGATCAGGAAGCAAAGTCTGCCAGAGTGTTGCCTTCCCTCCCTTCTGCTGCGGAGCTGATCTGAATGGTGATTGTGGTAGCCAGTGACAGTGGCCCATCCATTGGGGGAGCAACAGCCAAGTGCCACCCAAAACTGAAAGTATTATTAATTTCATAACTGTTACTTAATTAATGGATTTATTTACTCATTTATGTGTGTGTGCATGAGTGTGCCTCAGTGCAAGTGTGTGTACATGTCATGTCATTGGTAGGGGACAACTATCAACTATCTGGAGTCGTTTTTTCTTTATGCCTTTAGTTCCAAGTGATAGAATTCAGGCCCTTGGTCTTGAGAATAAGCACCTTTTCTCACTGAGTCATCTTGCCTGCCCTTCTGATTCGTTTCAATGTTGCAATAATTGTAGAAGAGGAAATTGCAACTCTGCTTCTTACAGTAAACAAATTCTTTTGAGTGTTTACTTCATTCTTTGGGAATTATTTGAAACTTCTTTAAAATATGTCAACTTGTAAAGTCTGGGAAAAATATTGACCAGAGAAAGTATGGCTATAAAACGAAAATAAGTTCTTGCCAAATTTCTGTGAAAATATGTAGTGACATGTGCTTATATTGTCCCTGTTTCAAATATGAATAAAAATAGTTACATATGTAGAGACTAAAAGGGTTGATCTGGAAGATGATAAGAGCCCAACAGCAGTTACTAGAGACAGCTATGGAGAGAGTAAAGAGAGGAGGGCTCATTCAATGTCGCAGTTATATAGAAACAAACCCTCGAGGCCTGCACCAGCAGAGTGGTCGCCAACAATAATGAGGTACATTAATAGTAGAAGAGTAGTCAGTGTACTACAAACAAAAAGCAAAAGTTGAAGGTAATGAATAACGCAGTATCTTTTCACTGATTACTATAAATTCATGCATGAATTAAAATATTACTGTGCACTTCATACCAATGCTACCTGTTGATAATACTGATGCTACCTGTCAGTCAAAACAACAGTGATGTAAAAGTGTATGAAGTATCTGAAATCATGAGTGTCATTGATCTCTAACCGTGTGTCTAGGAATTGCTTCTGCTGTGGCACAGAGTGCATATGGAAAATGGCTTTCATAGTGATCTAGGACCCTCTCCCTTTGCCTTTCTCTCAGTTAAGCGATTGCATTCATCCCCACACAGAGAATATGGAGTCAGGAAGCAAACACCTAGGAATCATGCTTTCTGAAAGGACTCCTTCATGGTCTAATTAAAACATTTGCTTTCAAGGTCTCATCTGTAGACCTTTTTGTGTCTATTCTAAAGATCAAATTATAAATGAATCATGATGAAAGCAAGAAAAAATTAATTACAAGGTCTGAAAAATGGCTGCTCTTTGTGTTTAAAATTACGAGTAAGTGCATCCAAGGTAATGGTGGAAATCTAGAGGGAAATATGATAAAAAGAAAAGATCCTATCAGTACACTTTCTTCTAATAGAAAGCAATCGTTTATCATTTTAACAGTAAAATCTTACTGAATAGACTAATAACTACAGATTTAATTTAATTTAGACATGACTTACATAGAAATCACAATTTGCAATTTGAAACCATTTAATCCACAATATCCTAAGGAAATCTTTATTCGGGTCATAATTGAGGTAAAATATTTGACACTTGAGGCTTATATATTACAATTTTTGTTTCAAAGAATCTTCTGTCTTTAATCTTGTAAAAAAAATGATCTATAGTAATTTCAGTTCTCTAGTGATGTCATAATTATGTGAACATTCCAATTGTATCATTTGCTTTGAATTTTATTTTATAATATTGTGTGCAGGTTTGTTTTCATGTTTATTCTTGATTGTTTTTTTAGATTAATTTTAAAATTGTGAAGTATTTCCTGGACTGACTCTTCCCTCAGGTGGAATCAGTAGGAGCCTGAAAGCTAGTGTGAGATTGGCAATTTGTCATGGATCCTTCACAAAATAGATAAGACCAGTGTGGATAATCTCAGTGTGAAAAAACTGTAAACACCTTAGGGGTGTAAAACAAGAACTACTGAAAGTTACTTCAAAGCTCAAGGCCGCCACAGTAAATACCTCTCAGCAAGCACATGCTAAGATAAGTTAATGTCAAGAACTCACAAAGAAGGGGCACTTGTAGATTCTCAGAATTTCACCATCTTATCTGCAGATATGTAGACTGTATCTTCATGATATGATCAAGAATTAGAAAGGCTTTGGGAAACTAAAATTTGGACAATATATCATGGAGTTACTTAGCTCCCTTTCAACTTGTTTGAAGAAAACAACAAAAAAGATAGAAATATTCACTGCCACTTAGAATATGGGTTTTGTTGTTGATGTTGTTTATGCAGGCATAGCATTTTAGGAAAACTCAAGACTGAGGATGTAGCTCTGTGCTAAAGTGTTTGCTTAAGCTCGTGTGTGAGGTCCTGGGTTTGGTCTGCATCACTGCCAACAGCCCCCAAAACAAAACCCACAAATAAATGTAAGGAATAGAAGCTCACCTGTAAGAGATCTAGCAGTTTAGGCTTTTGTCAAGAATACAGAAGGATAAAAATGGAAGGTTTGGTTTTCTGTAGTACTGTGTTGAACTTCGTTAGCCTAACATTCACTCTGAGGTTAAGAGTCACTCTGCACTTTTAAAAGTGTACCTATTAGGAATCACTGACAAGCAGTTCTACAGGATGCTGACAAATTATATGAGCATTTTTACTCTATCCAGAACAAAACGTATTGTTAATCAGACATTAAGACGTAAAGTATTTTTTTTTTCTGTTTTAATGTCCCTACAAATATGACTGCAATTGAATCATAGATGTTTTGGTTATAATTTTATCTGGCAATCTTTCTTAAAAAATTTTCCTCTTCTTCTCATTATAGGTTTCATATACACTGGAGAAGTTGTACACCGAATGCTAACAGCCACACAGTATATAGCACCTTTAATGGCAAATTTTGATCCTAGTGTATCCAGAAATTCAACCGTCAGATACTTTGATAATGGTATGTATTGATTGCCTAATTTGTGTCGAATTATATA